ACCAGTGCAATTTAAAATAATTGTTATTTTTATTACATAGTATATAAATCTGTAGATAATTTGTAGAAACTAATTAGAAATATTAATATCTTTTGATCAAATTTTAATTTAAGGAACCTTTTTGTGGAGGAACCTTGATCGCGCCACGTTGGATTTTAACTGCTGCACATTGTGTAAGGAGGTACAGTTAAAAAGAAATAATAAATATGCTGCTCAGTATATAATAAAATAAATTATTTTTTCATTTTTATTGCAATGCAGTTTTAATAAGTATAATTTTTTCTACAAAGGCGTCTTTATGCAAGAATTCGCGAGCATGACTTGTCAAGACGAGAAGGTCCTGAAATGGAATTTAAGATAAGAGACTCGTTCTTACACCCATCATACGATCCAGAAACGGTTGATAATGATATTGCATTACTGAGGTAAGAAATGATTTGTATTTTTTTAATTATTGATCATTGACCTAGTGGTCAGAGCTATGGACTTTGAATCAGAGGCAGTAGTTGCATCGGTTTTCACTCGGAATTATAGATAGCAACATGTTCCAAGTAAAACTAGCTCTTATTGCTGCATTAATGAAAAAAATCCCATCTAACTATTCTTTTCTGGTTAATTTTAGATTGCCAACAGTTTTAGACAGTGACAGCGTCGGTTTTGCTTGTTTGCCGAATATTCAATATGGTCAAAAAATTACTGGAAATCTAGACAACCTGATGTGTGCCATAACTGGATGGGGAAAAGCGAATATAAATCACCATAAGGGAACTAATGTATTACACGAAGCTCAGGTAATACACTTAATTATTAGAATATAATAAAATACACTACATAGGCACTCTTTCCAAGTTCGGAGTTTTTGGCGAATTCCACATTATAATCTTTCTGTTCTTGAAAACAATGATTAATTTTTTTCTTAATATTTCTATTTAACCATTTTTAGATATCAATTATACCAGATAGAGAATGCCATCGCGCATATAGCGAATATCACATCACGCGAAACATGTTTTGTGGGGGCACCCGCGGAGGCACCAGAGACTCTTGTGCTGGAGATTCAGGAGGACCTCTCGTCTGTAAAGCACCTGATGGCAAATGGTTTATTTATGGTAATCTTTATAAACACAGTTGTTATTTATTCATTTTATGTTCTTCTAATATTTTTTACTTGCAGGGATAACTAGTTTCGGTGAAGGTTGTGGGAGAAGAGGCAAATTCGGAATTTATACAAAATTAACTAACTATATCAGTTGGGTTCATCAAACTATAGATAGATATAATTAATTCATTTATCAACTAATAAATTCATATTAAAATTTTTATAAGGATAATTTTACTTTTTTGAAACAATAAGAAAAGTAGAGCAGTCCTATTTTTATATTCAATTTTGGTTTGGATCCGTAAGTACAGCATTATAGGAGGTCTGCTCAATTTCAGCTCTGAGTTATATAAAAACCGCGTTATAGTGAGGTTTATTGTAATTCTAATGTTACAATTCGCGTCACATAATACGCGTTACTAAATAAAATACTGATTATTTAGTAAATTACTTTAAGTGTTTTGAAAGTTTGTTTGTTTCTGCATTTCCACATCTTGGGATGCAAATTGCCATTAGTGTAGGTTTCAGATTGATATTTGGAATTAATCAATTTTGTTTCTAGTTTTATGGTCAAGGATGTTACTTCTCAAATTTTGGTGTAATTTGTTCATATGCACCACTATCTATAGTTACCAAATGGTTAAAAAATCTATTTCTGGAATAAAGTCCTGCAAGGTTATTGAGGTGAAGTTCTCATAGCCTTTCTTTTGTAAATCCAATACACCATATGATAAAAAAATAGCAAGGAATGTAATATTCTTTATTGAGGTAAAGCTGCCTTCAATTGCTCTTATTGCCTTTTCTTGTAGATCCAATTTTGGATACTTGTGCTTAGTAACCCCAGGCAATATACCATATGATAAAAGAATAGTAAACATAGTAAAAAAGGTTATTGAGGTGTAGCTTCTACAATTGCTTTTCTAGTCTTTTTTGTAGATCTAATTTTGGATACTTGTTCTTATAAGAACAAGTATCCAAAAGTCACTATAGTGACTTCAGGCAACATGCCATATGATAAAAGAATAGCAAGGAAAGTAAAAAAGGTTATTGAGGTAAAGTTCTTTGAATTGCTGTTGTTGTTTTTTTTTTGTAGATCCAATTTTGGATACTTGTACTTAATGACTTCAGGCAATATACCATATGATAAAAGAATAGCAAGGAAAGTAAAAAAGGTTGTTGAGGTGAAGCTATTTTGGATACTTGTGCTTAGTGACTCCAGGCCATATACCATATGATAAAAGAATAGCAAGAAAAATGAAAAAGGTTATTGAGGTGAAGCTTCTTCAATTGCTCTTATTGTCTTTTGTTGTAGATCAATTTTGGATACTTGTTCTTAGTGACCCCAGGCAATATACCATATGATAAAAGAATAGTAAAAAAAAATAAAAGGGTTATTAGGGTGAATGACTTTCAATTGCTCTTATCTTTATTGTAGATCAAATTTTGGATACTTGTGCTAAGTGACCCCAGGCATATACCATATGAGGAAAGAGTAGCAAATAAGATAAGGGTTATTAAGGTGAATCTCTTTGATTGCTCTTATTGTCTTTTTTTTGTAGATCCAATTTTGGATACTTGTGCTTAGTGACCCTAGAGAATATACCATTTGATGAAAGAATATCAAGCAATGGTTATTGAGGTGAAGCTCCTTCAATTGCTCTTATTGCCTTTTTTGGTAGATTCCAATTTTGGATACTTGTGCTTAATGACCCCAGGCAATATATACCATATGATAAAAGGATAGCAAGGAAAGTAAAAGAGGGTTATTGAGGTGAATCTCCTTCAATTGCTCTTATTAGCTTTTTTGTAGATCCATACTTGTTCTTAGTAACTTAGGTAATATACCAAATGATAAAGCAAGGTAAGTAAAAAAGTAGTAATCAGGCACAATATCTATTGTTTCACTTCTTTCGATGGCGTAGATGGTTTTAGAGGGCCTTATGTACTTATATATCAAGAAATATGGAATATTTGTATCAAGAAATTGGAAAAATAGAAAAAAAACAGGCAGTCATTAACTGGATCAAACAATCAGATTGTCATTAAAATGTATTAATCAAAATATAGCAATTTTAGTGATGGACACAAATAGCATTTTTAATATGTAAATGTAAGTAAGTAATTAGATGACCCCATGAATTTAATATGAATATATTATAACATAATATGCATATAATATATTTTATTATTGTCTAGGTATGACCCATGGTAAGGTTTTGGGTTTACCACCCCTGCCTGTCAAACGCAAATATGGTTACCGTGTTTGTCAACTTCTGTAAGTGTCAGTTTTCATTCTGCAAACTTTCCCTTTTCATCATTTGATAATAAATAATTAAAAAATATGTGCTCGGTAAAGTAATTGTAAAGTGGATTATATATTAAAAAAACAAAGTTCAAGAAGTACGTATCAACTGTATGTAAATTTTTAAGGTAAGTTTGCAATTATTTAAACAAAAACAAACTTTGAACATTATCATGACCTTGCATATTGATAACTTGCAATCTCAAAAATGCCTTGGTATCAAAGTACATAAAATAACAATTCTATATTTTCCGTGCTTCTGTGGAAATAATAAATATATCGTGATTAAATCAGAAAAGCTTTTGGTAATGTCATTTATTTAATTTAATAATGAAGTGTTAATAAGTAATAACAAATACAAATTTTACAATTGTACAAAACAAATTTCAACTTGAAGTTAATGACTTCCATTAATTAAGAATAAAAATTGTATAATTTGTTATTGTTAATTTCCAAGAAGTTGATTTTGTGTTCTTATTTATTACGGTAAGAAATAAATGAAGTATAAATTTAAAGTCTTGAAATGTAAAGGAGAAACCTCATAATTAAATTAAAACTTACAATTCGTAAATTGTTTCATGGTTCTGTTTTTTCTTATTTTCATGCTTGTTGAAAGTAATTATTCAATATATCTTAAGTACTTAAAATTAATATACAGAAAGGTTTTCAATGTGGACTTGTTATTAACAAAGATGTATTGTATTTATTATTAATATTTATTATACATTTTCATAATTAATTTATTACTTGAGCGCTGTTGATTATAATCTATTGTGTTCTATTGTGAAGATTCCTTTTTACGGCTTGCAGAATCTTACTTGTCTCATTCTCATCCTACTTGTAACCATATACAGGTTTTTCTTAACGTGATATTATTTATTTAATTTGTGAATCTTTTATCTAATTTCTAAGAATTAATTAGGCTTGATTTAATTATAATATATGAATTAACCACTTTTATATAATAAATTGATACACATTATTGTACACTAAATGTTTAAAATACCTATAAAAATTCAATTGAAAGTTTTATAAACAATACAACAAATATTATTAATAATATGTGTGTATAATATATCATGTAATAAATAATCAAATCGGTTCATCAATGTTCATTATTGAAAAATTAATCAATTGCTGTTTATTCTTATTTATAGAAAACGTCCAAGATGTCTTTATCGAAACCAGTCTATAATTTCCTAGGATGGTATCTCGAACAGTTGTTCAATCATCCATTAATTACAAAATCAGTATCAAGGTAAGTATAACATATTTATAAATGCAATATATCTTTTTTTTTAAATATATAATAATTCACTTTAAACATTTTAGTGCTGTTATAGCTTCTTCTGGAAATTTAGCATCGCAGTTGGTAGCTGGTAATAGAAATATAAGTTTTGAAAGCATAGGATCATTTGGACTATTTGGGTAATTGTGTAATTTACTTTATTTTTTATAGTTATAAGTTATAAAAATAATAAGATTAATGGGTAATTTCATATTAGTCTAATAATTTTTGATCTTCTGAAAGCATATATTTACATGTGTAAAAGATATTTGTGTTTCATTAGAAACAACCACTTATAATAGAAATTCAAATTTAATTGGTATAATTCTCAATAAAAATTAATATTATTATCCTTATCATTTTAATATTGGAATTAAAAATACAGCATTTACAGAGTTATATCAATAACTATAATAATTCTTAAGATTATTTCAATCAAATTTCTTTTGAGTTTTAATAGTTATCTTAGTTCTTAATAACTATAAGGCATCATTTATTTATTTTTAGGTATTTAGGTACTTTTTATTATGTTATGATCTATATTTGAAATATAATTTTCAAAAGTTTAAATAGTACAATAAATTTATATCAAACAAATGGAGAGGTTTTGATTAGTCTGTATTTAATCATTTGGTTAACTCAATAAAATCTCTAAAAGTATTAATTTAATAATGTTATTTGACAAAACTTTATAATTGTAATAAGAATATGGTTACATTTTAATGAGAATTTAAATAAGATTAAGTTTAGTATTCAAATAACATTCCTAAATTATTACTCTTATAAATTTTATTGAGCTAACTAAGTGAATAAATGTAGACTAATCAAAACTTCTCCATTTCTATGATATAAATAATTTCTTTAATTTATTGAACTGATTTATTGAACTTAGTAATTTAAGAATATTATTTTATTATCATTTAATTTTATAGATTGTTGTTTGGTGGGCCTGTACCTCATATATTCTACAAATGTCTTGAAGATATACTGCCAGCAAATGGATCAAACGGACGAATTATTACAAAATTTTTAATAGAACGATTATTATACACTCCATTCTTCCAAATACTTTCCCTATACACATTAGCCAGGTTTGAGGTATGTCTTAAAAGCGATATATCTATTAATATATTCAATTATAATTTTAATAATATTATTTTTAGGGTAAATCTCATGGATTAGCTTATAATCAGCTCATGCATTTATTTTGGCCTGTGCTCCAAGCGAATTGGAGATACCTATCACTACTAGTATTTATAAATATTAAGTTTGTTCCACCTATGGTCAGTAGATTAAATGTACATGATAATGATTTTCAGAATCAGTTTTGAATGTTTTATTTTTGTTTTACAGTTGCGAGTTTTGGTTGTAAATTTGATTGGCTTTTTCTGGGCTATGTTTTTGGCAAATAAACGCAGACAGCAAAATGAGTCGAAGAAAACTTATGGTAAAAAGAGGGTCTAGGGTCAAAAGTCTTTGTAATATTATACCATAGGTATATTTATCTATCATATATAAATAAGGCTTAAGGGAGTCAATTATATTTTTGTACAAAATTTTAGAATGTTGGAAAGTTTTTTATAACCAGTGGCAGTTCAAATTATTATATTAAGCAGACATATATGTACATATATGCATTTAGGTAAATAGATTTTAATAATGATTTTACTATGTAAAATAATTTTAGGAATTATTTTAACAAAATAAATAAACTAATAAATAAGTTTAACTTTTCAATGACAAAATGAATACTATACTTCTAAGAAAAATAATTGTGCTTTATTATTCACCTATTGATATATTTTTCAATCTATCTAACTCAAAAATTAGATATTGGTGCTCTCTAAATACATAGATGACGATTTGATAACAAATATATCAAGTTGATGACAATTTATTAATAATGCATAGAAAAACTGCCAGTATAAATTTCTATTATCAGATGCCATTAAGTAAATCACTATAATTTTAAATCAGCATCTGCTGTATTAACTATAAATGATATTTTATATTTCGACATTTGATTTTTATTATTAAGAATGAATTTTATGAAGATAGTAAAAACAGCAATAAAAATTTTATCATAATATTTCAGAATGAGAAATGTTTGAAGTATACTTTCTACTTTACTTGAATCAAGATTACTCCTCAAAAGTGTTAGTTAATTTTGTAATTTTGTAAGCATTCCTGGAAGAAACAGTTCATTAAAATTTATATCGCTTCGGCTATGGAGGAGTACTTGCTTTTGACCCTATACAAGTTTTATGGAGGATTTTTCAACTGGAACTGGAATTAGCACAGATAAGTATTTAATTCTAATATTAATTATTTTTACTTGACTATGAATTGAAAACAGGAAACTTTGAAAATGGTAGATTATGAAAACAAATAGTGTTATTGAAACAATTATTTTATTAGACATATATTTACTTTATAAGTACATATTGATTACCATAAGATAGATTAGTTCATTTTAACTAAACTATAAAGTAAAATTAGTTGCCTTCATCGGCATAACTTCACATTAAAACAGTGGAATAAAATTTCACCATCGTCATCATTTTGCGATAGTACTCACTTAAATAATAGTGTCCATTAAATTTAAAAATATAATTAATCTTATATTATGGGGCGAATCAATTGGCAGATTCACAAGCATCGACCCAATCGTTGTAAACATCAACAGGTTCTGATAAAAAGTTTGTAGTTGTTTGAAAATCCTCCAGGCATACTCCTACAAGTTATCCTGGCTGTGTTTCTCCCTTTATCCATTGTAACTTCACAAGATTTTTCGTGATTGCAAAAAGGGCAATTGAATTGTACATCCAGAGGTTGAATTGCCTTACGTTTCGCTGGTGGCTTTCTTTTCGACTTGCGGCGTCCCATTTTTGTAAATTAATTTACGGAGAGTGCGATTTTATATTTCTTGCAATTTATTTAATAATATACAATAATGTTCTTCAACTGCAGTATGATTTTGTTTTTACAGCAATCGAGAGAGAAAAAGAAGACTTTGTATTCAATATTTACAAATAACCAAGTTAGCAATTTGACATAAATAAAAACATTGATCGTGAAGATAGCTGCATGCTGCATTCCTAGAACAGACTGTCAAGAACGATGACAGTTTCAGAAACACTGATCTGACTGAACTATGAGCATACCAACATACGAAAAAAATGACAGAAAGGAATATAATAATAATAAGGTTTATTTATCTATCTATTATTATTTATATATTTTTTGAATCTTTGCTTATATAAATAAGCATAATTAACTTATTAACTTTCTGTTTGAATTTTGCGCTCTAAATTTAAAGATTTGGACTCGCGCCTATCTTTACTTTTTTGACATCTGCATCTATGTTTCTTAGTGTTTGACAATTCGTATTCTTTTCCCTCTATGGTTTGACAATATTCCTTGCGTTTTGAAGAATGAATTTACTAAATAATTTAATGCATTTAACAATGTTCATTTATTAATATTGCAATCGTTTAAATGTTTTTAGTTAATTAACGTTCTAGTTTATATTGGTATTAGACGATGCAATGGTTAAAGTTAGAAATTCTACTCAACATACTATTTATATTAGTCATAAGCAATTTTGCAGATATAGGTGACCCTTACAAAATATTAAATATAGGTAGGAAAGCTACTTTGCAAGAAATCAGAAGGGCTTATAAGCAATTAGCAAAAGAATGGTAATTTATATAACGAAAATAGGATATAATTACATATTTTGTATATTAAAAAAATGTTTTAATATTGAAGGCATCCTGACAAATCAGATGATCCATCAGCTGAGGCAAAATTTGTAGAAATAAAACAAGCCTATGAATTATTGATTGATCCTGAAAGACGTAAAGCTTTTGATTTACATGGAATAACAAATGAGGACAATACTTTATACAAACAACGACATGATTACAGTCAGTATGGCAGATTTGCTGGAGATCCATTTGAAAATCTATTTGGAAGCCATGGAGGACGCTTTCATTTTAATGGACAAGACATGTCAATCTTTCATAAAATGTCGGTCACAAGCAGGTATAAACAACTCAATACCAAATTAATATTCTTATATAAAATATTACAATGAGATATATATTATAAATTAATTTTAACAATACATTCAAATATACTTGAATTGAATTTTTCAGACAATATGAACTTAATTTAGTACCAAAGAGTCATCAAGTTCCACATTTGCTGATGTTTTATGCTGACCTGTGTTTTTCTTGTATACAAGCTGTACCGATTTGGAGACGTTTAATAGATTCATTAGAACCTTTAGGAATTGTTCTAAATACTGTACATTCAAGCCATGAATTATCATTAACAAGAAATATTGGAGTTCATTCCTTACCTTGTATTGTTCTCTTACTAGATGGGAGTACTTTTGTATACAAAGATACTGTGTTCAATGTACAGAAGGTTGTAGGTAAATAATATGAATTATAGATAAAATCAATATTGGCTCTACTTCCATATTACGTTGTTTGCAGTGATTTTATTTAATATTGATGTATTATTTTAGAGTTTGTTAAACTGAAGTTGCCATACAAGCTTATTGCTCAAATAACTGACAATAATGTAGAACAGTTTTTGTCTGGCTGGCCAGACAATCGAGTTAGAGCGCTGGTGATGGAACCAAGACCACAGCCTAGACTTAGATATTTGGTAACAGCTTTTAGATTCAGGAAAACTGTAGCATTTGGGTAAATTTTAATTATATATGTTATTAAATATCTTTTTCTGAATATGGTCATAAATACATAGCATCAAGCACCTATTGACATTAATTTAAATAATTGAAACTTTAATAAAGTGCAATCAAAATTAACAAATTACTTGGCCACATTAATTTTGGGATTTTGGAACTATGAATATAATGGATTAATATGATTTAATGGTATCAGTTTCTTCATTCAATAATTTTGCAAAGAAATGTATTATTTATGTAATGTTTGTATAATTTTTAATACATTCAATTCTGGGTGACAAAATATTGAATAACTAATTATGGAAGTTCTTATGAAATAATAAATCAATTTGGCCATACCTTTTAAACATATCATTAATTTTCCAATTTTCAATTCATTTTATTACTATATATATTGAAACTAATTCTTTCTAATGCATAATTGTATCAATTATATTTTTATCTTACTGATAGAATATTTTGACTCCATAATTTATTTATGTGTATTATCTTTTACTAGCTTTGTCTGCACGGATTCAGATAGTTCAGATAAGATCAGGGACAGATACAAAATTAATCGTGCTTTGGACACTGTTTTGATGTTCAATGAAGATCATCATCATTCTCCCGTAGTCAGTATTACTATGTCTGATATTCCCACTGACACCCTCCGAGATGTGATTTCAGCAAATCAATATCTTGCATTGCCAAGATTGTCTGATCAACAGATTTTGGATGCACTATGTCCTGCTGAGTGGAACCGAGCAAAGAGAAAATTATGTGTAGTGCTTGTAACTGATGATGATAAAGAACAAGATGGATATAGAGAAGCTCTGAGGCAAGTTGCTAGAAGAGTTAGCGGTTCATATCATGGCAGAGTTAGATTCACTTATGTGTTCAGAGAGAAACAAAGGGCATTTGTTGATAGTTTACTTTTAGGACCAGAAGCTCCAAGAGATGAGTTATTGAAGTAAGTTTGTTAAACTATTGTTTTATTATTATTTAAATTGTTACTTATTTATAAGAACATTAACTGTTGAATATATGTCTAAATTGTATTTAAAACACAAATAGATTGGTCATAATCTGGAGACGTGATACAACAAGAGTTATGTATGATTGGTTTGATGAAACTTGGGTAAAAATTGATGATGAAGCTTATACAGATAATGACAAAGAATTTGATGAGGATCACCTTGTACAAGAAAGTAATTACAATAAGACTAGACAGCGATTAGAAGAGAAAATACAATACTTACTTCGAAGCACTGATGCCTTGCAATATGAAGCCGTTATTAAAGACCTGTTAGATGAGCATGCTCAAGGTCTTATTTCAAAAGTATTTTCAAAACTTGCACTCTGTTTGGAAATAGCAAGTGACCATTTAACTCATGAGCATATTATGCCAGCTGTGTCAGTGGTTGGAACTGTTTTATTTATTCTTGCAATTGGGCATTTTATGGCTGGATTAGTTAAAGTAAGAATTCTATTTCAGAAGTCCCTTGTAATGGAATTGTTTTTAGTTGCCCTATATTTCTAACATGTTTAATTGCTTCATAGGCTGAAGAGGAGCGTGTTCAACAAGAAAAAATGCAAAAAACTAAGAAACATAGTTCTTGTTCATCATCTACTACACCTTTGCTGTCTAATAATAACAACAATAATACTGTTGAGGATGATATGGAACCATCAGGTATAAATATTTAATATCCACTAGCAGTTTAGTATTACATGTATAAAAAATTGTACTTTAATCTCTCTCTTTCTGTACAACAATTAATAAATCAAAATATTTCTGCATAGATACATCAAGTGCATATAGAGCATTATATCAGCAAAGAAGATCACAAGAGTTGAAACTGCATGAGTTGTTGCAAGAAAAATATAATGGGCTAGTGCGCCTATTAAAACCAGGATGTAGAACCATAGTTTTACTTTGTGATGTGCAGAGCAGAAAGACTTTGCTGCCTGCATTTCATAAAGCTGTGTGGCCTTATCGAAGGTTTGCTATATATTCAATAATATACAATATTTGAAACTAATACTTATTATTGATTTATCATTAGGAATAAAACTCTTATGTTTGCTCATGCAACACTAGACAAATGCCTTGGCTGGTATAGATCACTACTTGAGATGTGTTTGCTTCGTGACATGAATGATGATGATTATGAAGGCCAGCAGTTCAATCATTCTGCCAGATTAACTAATATTAATCCCAGAAATTGTGTCGGCACTGTATTAGCACTTAATGGCCATAGAAGATACTTTTGTGTATATCATGCCATGCATCCTGAATGCAACGGTTCTACTGGCAGCAAGGTAACATTTTTGCTGTCGGAAAACGAATTTGATTAATATTTATACTTAATTATTTTTTTCAGAGAATGCAACGTATGTCAAGGTCGCTTAGAAGAGGCTATAGTTATTCTGATCCTGAAGCTGGTGCTGCTTTTTTGGGTTTAGATTCAGACACTTCAGAAGGATCATCTAGTGATGATGATATTTCTGGAGGAATTTCAAGGAGACACAACAATAATGACAGAAAAAAAGTACTTTTAGAAGAAAACTTGTTGGATGGTTTGCCTAATTGGTTAGAAAGATTGTTTGAAGGAACTACACATAGATATCAAGTTGGATATTGGCCAGATTTCACAGCCAAATAAAGAAAATGTGCTTTGTGTTCATGCATTTCTTCAATAAGCAAATTTGTTTAAGGTAACAAACATTATCAATATCTCTTGAGGTTTTATGATAGAACAATCAATTTGTCCACGTGATTCTATATTATATATATCTAAAGAGTCAAAGTATTTCTATGGTAGGAATATCAATATTGATATTCCTACTAATTGTTATAACCGACGAAATTTTTCATATTTTCATTATTTAGAAAACCCTTACTCGCTCAAAGATCGGTCTCGAATTTTGCTTGTATGTCTAAGCTATGAACAACCCACTTCTTTGGCGACCCGTATCTTGAAACACTCGTCGGGTATTACTTTATCTTTGTGTATATTATACTAATATATTATAATTCATAATTATAATATATATATATATTTATATATATATATATATATATATATATATATATATATATATATAAGTATTTTGTGCAGCCCAATCGTCGAATTAAAAAAATAACAATAAATAGCAATAGTTGATATTAAATATAAAAAGAAGAAAATTATATACAGACCAAACCAGGAAAAACACAAAAAAATTATATTAAATTTATTGAACACTAAACTTGTGTAAAAGAATATCATAACTAATATAATTAATAAAAGAGAAATTAAAGTAGCACATATTGACCTCCTATATTATATGATGTTCAATCGCTGTGCATTGTAACAAAACTGATCAAGGTTACGCGGCAC